ATGAGGAGATGATCAAGGCGAAGTTTTAGTGAGAATGCCACGCAGCTCTCTTACCCGGAGCATCAGAAAAAGGTACAAGTATCCGAAGCTACGCTCGAGAAGATCAAACGAGAGCCGTGCTCCATTTGTGATATTGATTTGGACACGTGCCATGATGCCTTCAGTTGAATTCGAACGCTTGACTGGTCGACTTCATATGCTGCTTCTAGCTTCTCCAGCGGGTAGGCGATTGTTTGCTGCGAAGCGGGTGGTGGTATATAGAAAGGTATGCATATGTTCTGCTCATATAGGTCGCCGTGCTAATAAATTTTGGTTCAGAACGGGGTACGAACGGTTGGCATGCTCGTGAAAGAGGGTGTCACCGGCGGTGCTACTCCCATACTTCATGTCTTTGAATTTGGACCACTTAATCCAGCCCGTAATCCCAGTGACATCTTACCCTACCTACCTATGTTCCGGCATTATTTTGCGCCGTTACAGACTTCTGTTTCAGAGATGCATTTGAAGGCTTGCAAAATCCCACTGATGGACCTAGAATGTGTCACGGCAGCGGTAGTGAAATTTACTGGTCCAACTTGGAGTCTAAATACCAAGAAAGGTGGGATTCTCTACACACTACATGGGGGTGGATTTAACTAAATGCATTGTTCAGAGTCGTTGAAAGTCGCGAGTAAAGAGCTAATACCTTTAACTTCGACGTGGGAGAAGCCGGAATGGGATGAGCTTGATTGGGGACGGCTAAAAGAATTACAGGTCATTGAAGTGCTAAATGAACGCCCGAGGCAACTCGAGGTTGCTCAATCATGCCATTGTCTCCAATGCCCCCAATTCCTGAAACATGTGAGTAAATTTTGGAGACATGGCCTCGTATTTGAACGCTAACGTGAAGATGCAGTTCGAAATGCAACATGATGAATGGCAGGTGAAGGAAAATATATCGCAATTGAAGCAGTTGATGTCAGATCAGAACCTACAACTGCTGCCTGATTATGAGCAACGGATCCAGGTTTTAAAGGACCTTGGCTTTGTTGATGACGCAGGTAGGGTGCAGCTCAAGGGCAAAGTCGCATGCGAGGTCAGGAGCTCCATTTCTTCCTAGAAGTTTGGGAATAACGATAGCTAATCTGGTGATGCAATTGTAGATTCACTCAGCCGATGAATTAGTCCTGACGGAACTGATACTCGAGAACGTTCTAGCCGAGTATGAGCCCGAAGAGATCGTTGCTCTGCTGTCAGCCTTTGTTTTCGAAGAAAAGACAGAGAACACCCCGACATTGACGCCTCGACTGGAAAAGGGCAAAGAAACCATAATTGCCATCTCTGAGAAGGTTAATGATATCCAGATAAAACACCAGGTGATATTATCCAGCGAAGATGCAGGGGACTTTTCAAGCAAACCACGATTCAACCTTGTGGAGGTTGTTTATGAATGGGCACGGGGGATGTCATTCAACCGTATCACCGACCTAACGGATGTGATGGAGGGCACGATCGTGCGGGTAATCTCTCGTCTCGATGAAACCTGTCGTGAAGTGAAGAATGCCGCGAAACTCGTGGGAGACCCTTCGCTATACACCAAGATGCAAACGGCGCAGGAGATGATCAAGCGGGACGTCATCTTTGCCGCCTCCCTCTATATGTAGGCTTATTATCTGCCGTTATGGCCTTTTTCCACATAGCAATGCTGTCATCAGTGGAACCTTCGGGCCTCAACCCTACTCAGGGATCTCTGTGCAAGGGAATGGGCACGCTTGAAATGAATCTGGATTCCGTAAGACGCAGAGAGAGAGGCATCAAGTCGGATTGACTCTTTCTCTCGTTCCACGGGGTGACGGTAGTCGCCTTCGTTCAGGTGTAACCAGCGGAACAGCTTCTTGCTGCTGAGGCGTGTCGCGCCATGCACTGACAGTGGCAGGCCAACAGCGAGAAATCAAGCAGCCTGTAGAATTTGATTTAGAATTTCTTGCACTGTCTGGCGCTCTCATTGGTAGGGATGCGCGAGTGGCCGCCGGCAAAGGTGCCTGAGCGGGTAGGGAGAAATAAGTTTAGGGAACCACTCAATTATTTTTTTTCTAAACCCTTGTCCCCGCCGATCTGTGCATTCAGACAATTCTGACCCCAGAACTCTGCTTCCTTCAAATCGACGGTCCCTCTGGTCGTCTGCTTATTCCAGCCTGAGCGTGCATGAGGCCCAGTCTTCCAGTCCTCATCTGACATCCTAACTCATCGCTTCCACCCTGGTGCTGGGGCTTTATCAGGTCCGCAACGATGGATGTGGCAGGTCTACGGGACCGCATTCAAGCGACTCTCGACGCCAACGGGGAAATTCGGCGACAGGCCGAAATAGATTTAAAATATGTGCGTTTCCCAACGGGGTTGCCAGTGCTGTGCTCGCGAGACTCTCAGCCTTGCTAATGGATTTGACTGCTGCTATCTAGGCTGAGAGCCAACCTGGTTTCCCGAATGCGCTGTGTGATATTCTCCAAGCCGAGCAGGACCAGGCTGTTCGACTATCCAGTATGACGAATAACCCGTCTTTCCATCGCCCCATCCGCAGTCACTCGCATTCTGACTTTCTGCAGCTGTCGTTTACTTGAAAAATAGAGTTATACGAGGATGGTCGCCGGAGGAGGATCATTCTATCCACACACCCATCCCAGAGGAGGAGCGAGGGCCCTTGCGAAACCGATTACTGCCTATGCTCGCATCGTCGCCGCCTCCGATCAGGTCACAGTTGATTCCTATGCTTTCGAAGATCCTGAACCATGACTTTCCGCAGAAATGGCCAGATTTCATGGATATCACCCTCCAGTTACTCAATGGCAGCGATGTCAGTTCGGTTTTTGCTGGGTTGCAGTGCTTGCTTGCTATTTGTCGAGTGTACAGCTATAAGGCGTCTGAGGATGATAAACGGGCGGAATTTGATGAGATAGTCAATCACTCGTTCCCTCAGCTGCTAAATATTGGCTCTCGATTGGTCGACGAGGAAAGTGAAGAAGCAGGAGAAATGCTTCGAGCCGTGATGAAAGCGTATAAGCATACCATCTATGTGAGCCTTTATGTTTCCTTTCTGTTCCCGACAGATTTTGAAAAAGCGAGGCTTGTTGACCCTCGTCGTAGATGGAGCTACCTTCGCACCTAATGACACACCAGGCGACCGTTGACTGGTGTACACTATTCCTACGAATAATCGACAAAGCCCCCCCGGCTTGCTCGATGACAGACGACCCTGCTAACCGGGAGCTTACCCATTGGTGGAAATCCAAGAAATGGGCTTACGCAAACTTGAACCGCCTTTTTGTTAGGTATAGAAAAACGAGCCCGAATTCATGTCAATGCTCTTGGCTAACGCTGTTCTCTACGTAGATACGGAAACCCTTCGGCATTGGAAAGACCAACCAGCCGGATTACTCTCAATACGCCAAAACGTTCTTGACGACTTTTGCTCCAGAGATTTTGAAGGGATATCTCCAACAAGTGGACAAATGGGTATCGGGAGGACTGTGGTTGAGCAAACCTGCCCTGTCCTCTACCCTGGTATTCCTTGAAGAGTGTGTCAAGCCGAAAGCTGTGTGGGATCATTTGAAACAGCATATTGACAACTTGGTGGCACATCTTATTTTCCCCCTCCTCTGTCAGACCGATGAAGATATTGAGATGTTTGATTCTGACCCAGCGGAATATCTCCATCGTAAATTGAACTATTTCGAGGAAGTATCTGCTCCAGATGCTGCTGCGACAAATTTCCTAATTGCGCTCACGAAAATCCGAAAGAAGCAGACATTCTCGATTCTCACATTCGTCAATAGTGTCGTCAGCAAATATGAATCTGCGCCGGATGATCAAAAGCAGCCGCGGGAGAAAGAAGGTGCTCTGCGTATGATTGGATCTCTCGCCTCTGTGATTTTGGGGAAAAAGAGCCCCATCGCGGACCAAGTGGAATACTTCTTCGTCCGCCATGTCTTTCCAGAGTTCCGCAGCCCTCATGGATATCTTCGTGCCCGTGCTTGCGACACCCTGGAGAAGTTTGAACAGCTCGATTTCCAGGATCCCAACAATCTGATGACTATCTACAGAAACATCCTGGATGCTCTAGCGGATCCTGCTTTACCGGTCCGAGTTGAAGCTGCACTCGCATTGCAGCCCCTTATTCGTCACAACGTTATCCGCACGTCAATGCAAACCAACATCCCACAGATCATGCAACAACTACTTAAGTTGGCCAACGAAGTGGATGTTGACGCTTTGGCAAATGTCATGGAAGATTTTGTTGAGGTTTTCTCGACTGAGTTGACTCCTTTCGCCGTTGCATTGTGTGAGCAACTACGCGACACTTACATGCGCATCATTCGGGACCTACTTGACCGAAGGAGTACCAAAGGCGAGGATGAGACATACGGTGATTTCTTGGACGACAAGAGTATCACAGCATTAGGTGTCTTGCAAACCATTGGCACTCTCATTTTGACGCTGGAAAGCACCCCGGATGTGCTGCTTCATTTGGAAACAATCCTGATGCCAATAATATCCATTACTCTCGAAAACAAACTCTATGGTATGTTGTCTGCTTTCCACTTGGAGCCATATTGAGAACCCAGCTAATACCCCCCTAGATCTATACAATGAGATCTTTGAGATTATCGATTCTTGCACCTACGCGGCGAAATCCATTTCTCCAACCATGTGGCAGGCTTTTGTTTTAGTTCACAAGACTTTCAAGACGGGAGCAGAACTGTATCTTGAAGGTTCGAAGCAATCCTCTTCACTTCGTAATTTGTTGTGGCTGACTCGGGGTTAGACATGCTTCCGGCCCTTGATAACTATGTGACTTATGGGTCTGCAATGTTAATACAAAACCCTGACTATCTAGCAGCTATTGTAAGTATGGTGGAAGATATATTCAGTGATGGGAAAACAGGAGGCGTGGATAGAATCTGCGCATGCAAGCTTGCCGAAGCAATCATGCTTAATCTTCGTGGACATGTGAACCAGTATATCCCTGTGTTCATCAATCTCGCGATGCCAATTCTGGCCAACGACGAAGCTCGGACAAAGTCTTACCGGATCCACCTCATGGAGATGGTGATCAATTCCATTTACTATAACCCCATATTAGCTCTTCAAGTGCTTGAGAGCAGTGGATGGACCAACAAGTTTTTCAGTAGCTGGTTTTCGAACATCGACAGTTTCACGAGGGTGCATGATAAGAAATTATCCATTGTGGCCATAAGTGCCCTGTTGACGCTCAGGGCGGACGATGTGCCTGCGAGCGTGCAGCCAGGCTGGCCCAGGCTTCTTCAAGGGATCAGCAGGTTGTTCCAAACTTTGCCCGCTGCCATAAAACGTCTGTTATATCCACGACCGGTTTGCTTCGTTTGGTACTAACTACGAAATAGTCCGAGACCAAGCTTCAAAGGCATCCGATATGCAATTTGATGAAACGGGCGAAGACGATGAGTCTGACAACGATTGGAACGGAGAGGTAGAGTGGACGGACCAAGATGAAGGAGACGGCGGAGACGGCGATTTCGGAGATGAAGGCTCCGCATATATTGAATTTTTAAATCGGGAAGTGAGTTTCTTCTTGGCCCGGATGACCTCTATATACGGGTCTGATTAACGATGTTTATTCTAGGCGGGGAAATTATCGGCGCTCCAAGACGATGACGAAGACGACTTGGACGAAGAAAGCCTTCTGGAGTCTCCGCTAGACAAAGTTGAACCGTATAGCGTGTTCAAAACATCCATATTAAGTGAGTAACAGTGTTATAGAATAAATCTCCGCCGGTTACTGATTGCGATTTCTCCAGACCTTCAACAGAGCCAACCTCACCTGTACGAGAATCTCACAAAGATCCTCAATGCCGAGGAACAGCAGATCATCCAAGGAGTAGTCGACGAGGCGGACAAGCAGGCTCTAGCGGCCGAAGCTGCCAATGCCGAGCTTGCAAAGGCTAACGGAGGTACATGATAAAACAAAAAAAGCATTAATCAATCTACTGGAATAGAAATGGATGAATGGGTATGGTAGGATACGCAAAGATGGACTTTTTAACTCGATGACTGTTGTTATTTTCCTCACAGTTAATCTTTTTGTCTCGAAATATCTCGTTTCTCTTATTTTGCTCTTAACACAGTTTTTAACATATTGAAATGAGCTGGGCTTTGAAAAGGACCGCTATCCAGAATGGCGGGCACAGGGCCCTATTTGATACCATATACTTCCTTGGTTGAAATTGCTGCTTTTGAGAATTTGTAGTCGAGCCGACATTTTTCGCTTCCTGGGATAAGAATACCCCTTGTCTTCAGCTGAGGTTTGCATTGAGCGGGTAATTGCGGGATTAAATTAATCCGGCGATTCGGCGCACCGCCACACCTGGACAAGCTCTGGTTACGTCATCATGATGAAATCGTCCATCAACCTTGACTTGAGGTCCAGGGCGCGATCGTGGGCTCTTGTCACTATCCAAAAAACTTGGAAGACGTTTCTTTGCGGGCGACTGTATGGAGTAGGGTATATTTATTCAGCTTATGCCTCGAGAGGGGTTCAACTTACGACATCAAACTGCAAATCAAAGTCCATTACCTCTAAAAAGCTGATATACATATACATCTCCATTAAAAAACCACAAATACAACCGTCTTCCTACTCTATATAACAACCCCAATACCGACATCTACCATGTCCGGAGGCCGCCAATCGCCTTCTCCCTCCCGACAGACTGGGCCCCAGCAATCAGACCTCCCTGGCTGGTCTGGTCAAGCGGAAACGAAAAACGGCGCGGGGGGCATATTCAATCCTTCTGCACACACTACGCATGCGAAGCCGACGAAGCAGGAAATGGGAGGCGAGGCACAGGGGAAGGCATCGGATGGAGGAGTTGAAGGGCTAGAGAGCAACCCGGTGCATCCACTGGCGGAGGTAGCGAAGGGGAAAACTCATTGATTGGGCTTGTTGTTAGGCTGGGTTGTTATGTTTTATGGGATGATAATATGATCCTTATGTTGGCCTGGGAATTTCTGGGGCCTAAGATTTAACCAGCAAGTTACCTGAGAGAATTATACCAGAGATCTTGATGAATTGAGACTTGTGATAATTGAAAACTAGTTTCGAATGACACTTTCCTTTAAAAAAAAATGTTATCATTAATACATAAAAAGGGCCATATCTCATTCATAACATTTGGTACCGAAACGAGCCCAGTCTGAGAGAAAAAAGAACTGTTTGAGGAGGAAAGACAAAAAGATACGCGTTTTTTAAGTCTTGGACTCAGTAGCAGCCGGGACAGATGCAGTAGTAGCAGATTCACCTCCAGCTGAAGTGGAATGTTCTCCACCTTCGCCAGTTGGCGATTTCTCCCGCTTCATATCCGCTAGGTGCCGAGCCTCATTATGAATATCCCGCACCTGCTTATCGCTATTCAGGTAGAAATCCCTAATCTTGCGACCCGTTGGCGTATCAAGAGCTTTCTCAAAGTACGAACTGAGTCCTTTCCATCCACGCTCTGCCTTCTCAGAAATCTTGTAGCTCTCATCAATACCCTTGGCCTTATCAGTGGCGTGGTACCTCTTGTCAAAGTTGGCCAACGCAGCCTGGAAGCGGCTCGACACGCCGTGCTTTTTATCGATCTCAATGGCCTTTTGAATAGCGTTGTCGCTGATAACGTAGCCCTGGGCAAGATATTCGGCAAAGATTCTGGAGCGAGGCTTGTCCTCTTGCTCCAAGGTATTGTTGTTCTCGTCTTTGGCTTCTGATGCATCGGCGGCCTTGTCCCCTGCGATTTCGTCGATGGAGCGTGCTGAAGTGACGTGGACAGATGAGGAGCCCTAGTTGGGTCTGATCAAGCAGGAGAGCGGTTTTTGCCGCTCTATCGATGGCCGTTAGCAAATGCTTAGTTTGTGTAGTATCTGCCTCGTACTTACGTTTCCTTTTCAAAGCTCACTGTTGCAGATTGCGGGGCATCCTTATCACCAGAGGATGGAGTGAGTGAGAGGGAAGTAATTTTTCCACTATAAGCACCGTCAGTGTTGTTTAAGCCTTGCAAAAGCAATAGGGACTATGCCGTACCAGAAGCTGAAGAAGTCCCGCACCTCCTTCTCACTTGTGGAAGACGAAATATTGGAAACGTGGACTGCAGACATAATGACAATCGCTTTGTAAGTAGTTCTTTTGTATGAAGAGGAGGACAAAACTTTGAAGCTTGGATCCGTGTAAACGATGCCCTTGAGCAGACGATGCCGGAGGTTTTATAGAGTCGACCAGGACATCGCGACGCCTGTTGACGTAATCAATCAGCACATGATGGCGGGGTGAAGCCCGCTGTGCCACAGGTGACGTAATGTCTTGGCTGCAGCCAGCTTGCACCGCCACAGCAAGGCCTGGCTCGATTGGCGGGCTGTGATTGGCTAGTTTCGAATGCGGCCCAGTCAAACACGACGGGAGTACCCCTCCATATCAAAAAGCTGGGATGGTACACGGCTACGTCAGGAGCAATCAACCACACAATGACGACGACGACGAGGTGGTGAGATTTCAATCCTGCATTGACGGATGACGACAACTAACATGGGCGAGGGCAGTATAGACTATGCATATTTCATCGATAAGCCCTTCAACCACTCAGCGAAGTCCATTGATTCCCGTTGGGGCGATGATAATGATATTTAACACGATTCAAAAAGATACTAGAAACCCGACCACATGGACCATATCAATGATTGTCGTCAATGGAGGCGTCTGCTAAACTGACGGTAAGACTTGAAATCCTTGTCGAGCCGCTGGCCTGTCTTGTAGGGCTAGAACGCCTGTATTGCCCAAGGATCATCTCAAGCTCCCGAACTCGACGACGTAAAACCTCATTCTCCCTCCTTGCGGCATCTAACTCAGCTTTACGAGCAGTTGCTTCTTCGTAGCGGGCCGCTATACTGGACGACGGGAGTCTACCGCACCGAGAGTCGTCCGTGAGCGTCGGGGAAGGACGAAACGCCGAAGAGCCCAAGTGATTATTGGGGCTGGGATGATTCGAGGATATGGGTTTTTCTCCAGGTCGCTGAAGCGACGACATCAGCGCAGGGGAGGAGGTGCCCGACAGCCCCGGAGACGTAAGAGAGGGTTCCCGGCTGATTTTTCCACGGTGATGATCCAATGCTGGACGAGGGAGGACTACGCTATCCCGCGGCGGAGTGATACCGCTGACGCTCGTCAGAGACGTACCAACCGCAAAACTGGGTATACCGAAAGAGGAAGATGACGGGTTTCGTGATCTCGGATTAAAAAGAGGCGCGTAGTCCTGTGGGTCATTCAAACTGGCAGACCTTGAGGATGCACCGGACATAATTGAGGCTGCTTGTTGGTGCAATTGACTCAATTCTCGCGAAAGGCGATTGACCTGGAAAAGCCATGTTAGGCACAAACTTGGTTGAAAGACCCGAGTCTAGTCAGGCCATACTCGCGCTTCTTGCTCCTTTTCCATCTCGAAATGCAGCTCTGCCGCAGTCATGATTCGCGGCTGCCGTAAGGGATCTATCAAGATGCATGTTAGCTGTGAAGGCCTTTCTGCTGGCATTTGCTCCGCTGGGGATTGTGATGATTACAGTCTGATGATGGTGACCTGCTATTATCAGCCTCTCTCAAGCCATCGCCGTTTGAGGTAAGAGATGTTTCTGGTCGTTCATCCAGTCCGCCATCTAGTTCTCCATCAATCAGTAAAGCCATCCATCACTATCCATAACAAGCCAATGGTTTCAACACCTGGTTAACTTCAGGGGCGATTACCTTCACTTGCTCTTGGCTCCATATTCCAGGCTTCTTAACTTATCTCAAACAAACCACTTGTCTCTGGGCCCTGGTGATGTTGTTTCTTGCTGGGTCATCGTCTTGGAGATCCAAGTCAGGAGCATCTGCCTGGGAAGCTGCCTGGTTTCAGTTCTGATTGGAACCGCAGAGGTCGCTGCGACAACAGGAGCGACTAAGCACGGCCGACTAAGCAGCAGGAACGTGTCTGATGCTGCTTCTCCCACCAGCCTCCATAGGTAAATAAGAGTAACTTTTATATGTTGAATGCACCGCCTGAGTGAAGGCAACAGAAAGAACCAGATATATCATAATTTATGTGAAGAACGCAAAACTACCTGGATGGTGATGCAGCAGCTGCCAATACATTTATCAATAGCAAATCCTAGAGATTCTGAACTACTACATGGGAGAGAGGAATGAATTGATGAATATGATGACTTGACCAAACACTGCACTTGATCCACATATTTCAAAACCTCCATGCAAACAGGTACTATCAAGAGAAAACATACCACTCTGCTCGAAATCCCACTCACCGAGAAAACTCCCCGTCAGCGCTTTAAATATTCCCAAACAATGTAGCAAGACTAGGATACAAAAGGAATGAAGAACGACTGTTGCCTCGCCTAAACACATATCGCGCTCCTAGAGTTGGTAACCAGCATAGAAATGAGAGGTATAGAACTCGTACGCTATATGAATGAAAGGTACGGTACCAGAGCACATTGGCGTAGCGAACTCGCCTCAAAATACCCGCTTAAACGAGACTCAATACCCAACAAAGTTTTTTCTTAACTTGCAGTGCCAAGCTTTGATTGAGGAAGTACTTCCGTTGAAGACATATCCGCCTCTTTGCCAAGGGTGTCTTTTCGGTCTAGAGGAGGAGGGGAGAGCGGCGTAGGCCGACCTGACTCAGCTGTTAGAGGATCGTCAGGCTGCTCAGCTACCGCTGAAGATATTGTTTGGTCGCTTGAGCTTCCCGGATGATTCGTATTTTCAGCGGATTCGCTAGGGGTCGTGTCATCAATCATAGCAGCGAGGCTTCTGAACCCATGAATCGGCGCTAGATTCGAGCTCGACCCGTTATGCGGCGTCCTGGACCCAATTGACTCTCCAAAGGCAGACTCAACAAGCGATGAGCTTGATGACGATGCGCTAGAGACGTGTCGGAGATGAGTCCTTCTGTCACATCCCTCTGTCGCACTAGTTTGCTCGCAGTTCGTGTCCTTTGAAGCAAGTTTTGACGGTTCGATTGAAGGGTTGGTCTCCGTCACCGCACCCAATCTAGCCTCCGAACGGTCCACACCTTTGCCTTTATTCGAGGATTTATCGAGCTCAAGGTTCGCCTTCGTCGCTGTCTGAGTGGTTGCACTGCTGGACGGAACGTTTAACGCAATATTACTGGGGTTGTTGCTGTAAAGTCCAGACTTCCTTGCATGCTTTTCAGCCTTTTTGGCCTCCTTTCCCCGACGTTTAGCTTCTTTTTTCGCCTCTTTCTCCTCCTTTTTACGTCGTTCTTCCTCTGCTGCCAAACTTAATCTGATGGCCTCCATCATCATCATTTCCTCTAATTCATCAATCCTACTGCGGCGAGAGCTAGTGCGGCCAGGAGCACGGTTACCGGAGCCATCCGCTGGAGACTCATTTTCGCGGTCTGCAATGGCTCGTCGTTCCGCCAGGTATGCGAGGGCATTGATATGTGGGGATCCCGTTCGACTTATAGGGCTATCTTGGCCTGCTGTCCGTCGTAACATGCTACGTCTCCTAGGCTCGCCAGAGGCTCCCGGAGTATTTATCAAGTAAGCAGCGGTATGAAGTGCTGTGGCAGCCGCAGATCTTCTAGCAGCCTGGGCTCTCGCAGCAGCGAGTTTAGTTGCCCAATCTGGACGAACTTTGTCGGTAGTGATAACACTGGGCGAATCAGCAGATATTGACACGGCACGTCGTCTCGTCGTTGGATTTGCACCTCCAGATACCAACGATGAAGCCGAAGAGGCAGCCGAGGAATTCGCAAGAGCTTGGGCGCTGGCATTCGGTGCGTAGACCAATCCCCGGCGAAACGGAGGTGGTGAATAAGTAACGCCAAACTCCGGTTGTACGCAAAAGGGGCATGCAGCAGGCTCCGAGACAAGCTGTCCATCTGGTTCATTTGACTGGTTATTTTCCGAATTGTTGGGATCGTGGTGTTCAGGAGGGTGGGGGTCAGGGCGTTTAATCTGGACAAAACATTCCGAACAGATGGGTTGGTCGCAACATCTGGTCTTGTTCAAGTATGGGGGATAATAGAGGAAACAAATGGGACACTCAGATGCATCCTTATACAGGTATGCTTCAAGCGGTTGCCCATTAACAAAAGGGTCTTTCGGAAGCTGAATTTCACGAGGTGCCATCTCTGTGACATTCGTCTTAGAGGAGGTAGTTAGAGACGCCAATGTTTTGGCACGGCCTCGGAAAAAGGAGCTTGTCGGGCTCAGAGCACCAGGAGATCGTGCAGGTGATATAGTCCGGTTGATAGAGGAGGTATCCGAATTGTAAGACTGGGATCTCGAGGTGATCGGGACCATGAGGGTGTTAAGGCTTCTGTCAGAAATCTGTCTCTCTTCGGGAGCCTTGGAAGGTATTTTATACTCCAGCTCAGGAGGAACTTCGTCAGGTGCTGGAATTGGCATTCCTCGAGCGGCAGCCATCAGTTGATGTTCCGTCCATGAATCCGAAAAATCGTTCAGGCCCTTCCAAAACGGAGCAAGACGCCGTTCAATCTAATGCAACGTTAATAAATAGATTCGTAGCCACTATCATGTCCGCAACGGAAAACATACCATCAACTGTCTGACAATCGCCTTATTGTAATCCTCAGGGCCAACATAGACTCCTTGTGTTACCAGATAGGCGCCATCGACATGTTCTTCCTTCATGCTTCGTTCACGCTCTTTTATTCTGGCGGCGTTTTCCTTTTCTCGCTTCCGAGCCTCCCTTTCTTGTCGCGTCTCACGACGATGTTCTACTGATGGTTGGTCCCTATCCGATGTGAGGCCGAGAATTGCTAGTTCGGGCCGGTTGTTGAGTAGAGTTCGCGACGAACTGCCCGTACGTGCGTTATCGGAAGTCCTTTGATGTTCGTAGTCTACCGCGGAGCCGCCCCGCGAATGTCGCGCGCCATGTTCATAATGAGGGCGGCACTCTTTTGTGGAAGTGTTGCCCATGGTGGAGGATGTGGAAAGGGGTGGAACGGATAACAATAACTGTTGATGACTATAAGCGAGAACGAGCGTGGAATTCGGTTCTCCTATCTTGTAAGAATTCTATATTTAATTCAGCAAGGAAAGACAGATCCGAGGGTCTGGGGTAATTCCCGATCACTGGGTCTCCTCTAGATGCGACGGGCCGAAACAGATGCACAGACTCGTAAGCTGCGGCTGAACGTAGTCCACGTTGAAACGAAGCGAAACGGCCATATGAGCGAAAGTTGTGCGCAAGTTATAGCAATGGAGCTGTACCGCATGCAATATGTAGAATGGCGCCGGATTTCAAAAAAAAGAAGGCGGCTCAGAAGTGCGGCGGAAAGGGATAGTCGTGCGGTCACGCGAGGAAGGGCTCCTGATGATTCACGCAGAAAGGATCTCTTGAATCGTTGAAAGCAAGCGATGGCGACAGCACATGAAAGCAATTTTGTAACAATATGGTGTCGGGAAGGTCATCGATCCACATTGACATGGATGACGACAGGGTCGGCCTTGGAACGCAATAAAAGGGGCAGCGGACTTTGACTCCGGTGCTCAACCCCGTAACTCAGCCAGGTTCGAAGATGACTTGGAAGGGGAGTTGAAGATGCCAGGCAGGGTGACTTGGGGAGTTGTTCTTCGCCTTCACCGGGCATCAAGCGAGGGTTGGATGGATGGTCGTCGGGCCGGCTGGCTTGTCGCGCTGGCTGAGGCGGTGGCGGGAACGGCTTACCTCAGCAGTTACAGGCTACTCCCGCGCCACAATCGGTGTAATCTATTCTGCCTCCTATTGGACAGAGCTCTGCTTATCTAACAGTCCGGTTTACCATGCTGTGATTGGCTAGAATCTCGAAGTTGGAGAAAATGGAGGAGACGAAAGCAAATGGCTCTCAAGAGAACACAGGATTCTTATGGCAACAGGCGGTACCAATGTCAACCCCCGAGGTGAAGAGGCTGCACATCACACCCTTGGACTCTGCGCTGCTCAATGCAATCCTCCCCCCGGCCCTGAGCTCACTGGCAACAGACATCTCCCTGCACACAATCCAGACATTTCCAGAAAACAGTTATGGTTTCGTGACACTTCCTCTTGCCGAAGCGGACAAGCTGGCCAAGAAGCTGAACGGCTCGATTTTGAGGGGCAAGAAACTTCAGATCCAAGAGGCGAGGTTACGGAAACAATTTCCACCTGACGAGGACCAATCTCGCGAAGCAGCTTGCTCGACGCCAGCTCGCAACACCATTATGGCCAAGAAGCGCAAGGCAGGGGATAATGCGATTGAAGGATATGAACTGGACTCTGAGAGACGCATCAAGCGAGGCTGGACCGAGGTGCCTGATAAGGGAAAGCGGTCGCGCAAGTCTGATAAGACCGAGACTAAAGCAGATGTCAAGCACAAGAAAACACAGAAATCGAAATACACGAACGACCCTGAATGTTTATTCCGTACAATTCCTCCACCCAATAAAGTAGAGTCAACGGAACCGCGCAAGGAGCGGAAAAAGAAAGCGGGCGGTAATGGTGCTGTTGTGGTTCACGAATTCGAAAGGTTAACAGCACATCCGAGTTTCTTGAGGGACAACCAAGGCTCTTCCGCAGTTAGTCTGACTCGCGAGTATGTTGAGGGTAAAGGGTGGGTGGACCGAGGGGGGAACGTAAAAGAAACACCTTCGATAAGGAGGAATAAGGAACCTACGAGTCGACTAAAGCCGCAGAGAAAAGGTGATCTGGTGTTGTCGAGTGGTAATGCTAAGGGCGATTCCACGAGCGATGATGAAGACGATGTGACTTCGTCTAGCGGATCGTCCAGCGAGGAGGAATCGTCTGATGGAACTTCTTCATCCACAGATTCCGAATTGCTTTCGAGGAAAGTTGCGAATTCACCTACGTCCAGGCCTAAGACGAAAACTCGAATCGCTGCAGATGACGATATAAGCTCTTCCAGTGCTTCCTCGTCGAGCGAAGAGTCTGATGATTCTTCTTCAGTACCATCAATCGCTAAAGGCAAGCCGCAAAGCAACCCCGGGGCTAGGAGCCTTCACGTCATGAGTAAAACGTCTTCGGAAGATTCCTCAAGTGAAGCGAGTAGTGCTAGTTCTAGTTCGTCTTCTGATCATGATGATTCCGAAGTCGACGAGGAGCAAAGCAAAACGCCCACAAAAAGCCTACAGTCTGTTGGCCCACCTAAGGAACCCATGTCACCGCCTAAAGAAGTCCACCCCTTGGAAGCTTTATTTAAACGCCCAGCGACAGAAACCAAAAAAAGCACTGGAAAGATGCAGTTGGAGATTGATACAGGATTTAGCTTTTTTGGAAACGCTGGAGAAAATAGCGACATTGAAGACAACGATAACAACATTGGCAATCAACACAGTATCGATACCCAGCCGCAAACCCCGTTTACCCAAAGGGACTTTCAAACTCGCTCTTTGCGCAGCGGAGCTCCCACTCCTGACACAGCCGCTGTGAACAAAATGAAATTCTGGACAGACGAGGACGAAGAGACAGATGAAGACGAGGACGATACCGATATTGAGGCCGAACAGGAACTCGCCGTGGCCAAAAAGCTGAAGAGCATTGATTCAAGAGGCACCAAGCACACCGGATCCGTCGCAGTTGAAGAAAGCGAGTTTTCGAAGTGGTTCTGGGAGAATAGAGGTGATAATAATCGTGCTTGGAAAAAGAGGCGGAGAGAAGCCGCTAAGGAGAAAAGACAGAGAGAAAATAGGCGAGGGAGAAGATAGTTGCATCTGCAGAGAAGCTATAGTCTTAAAGGTACCATTTGCACAAGTGTCCAACTGCTGGAGCGCGTGGATGTGCCTATTCTGCCTTGGACAGTGTGAATCATAAATAACCAAATATTTCCTACTTGGAATTTTCAATATCGAAGATTTGGCTCAAGCTAAGCATCCGTAGTGAGTCTGTAGTATGCACCCGCTTTATGAACTGGCCACTGGTGTGTGCACCGAATATTCGTATTCTCGAATATATTCGAGTATTCCGAGTCCAGTCCTATTCGAATATTCGGCCTTGGCTTCCGAATACTCCGAATAGGGGATTTTGAGCTTACATAACAACCAGTCAGGGCAAGACGTCTGCCAAGCTGCTTCGGGATGCCATCGCGTTGAGCACCGCTGCCGGGACCTCAGATTCACCAGGAACTCGGCGATGCGATACACCTCCCATCCACGCCTCCAAAAATGATAATACGAAGTCGCGTCGCCTCTCTTTTCCTCTTGATCCTTTCATCTTTCCTCCCCTTCATCCTCGCTGAAAGTATGGCCCCATCATTCAACCTCCGAGAAACCTCCACGCCTAAACCCTTGCTAACCATGTCAACTTCAACACAGCACCAACCTCCTTTTGCAAATGCACATGCTTCTCCAATAGCACCATCATCCCCCTCGGCCCGCCCAAACCTCGCAGCTCCTCAAATCCCTCGCCCGAAAGACGCGCCGTCTTCCTCCCCTCCCTATTCGGCGCCCGCGAAGCCGTCAACGACGACGTATATGGCCGCGCGGCGTTTCTGGGCCGGCGAGACGCGGCAGATGCACAATTGGCCAAGTCAGAGGATGACAAGAGCAAGAGCGGAGGCGATAAAGAGGGCAAAAAGTTCCGTGCGGTGAATTGCAACGACTGTAACCGCAAGTTCTGTCTAGACTATCAACTGCCGATGTGCAAGGGTGCAAAGGAGGAGGATGTCATGACGACTTGTTTTCGTAAGTTGTGGATTCATGATGCCCCCTACTATGCGGGGAAAAGAAAATACGCACCCCCGTGCAAAACTGACCCCAAATCTGTCTTGTCCAGAGAGAGAATCCAACAAGGATAAAGCTGTGGTGTTTATATTCATCATCGCCACAGTGTCTTTATTAGTCTGGGCAGCCGTCAAGCCGTGGGCAGAACGTTGGATACAGGTGCGAGACGTCCCCCAGGCAGATACAGGCGTCATGTCCAGAGGCAGACGAAACATTGTATAAGAGTATCCAGTGTGCTGATATATTTGGGTATTCCAGGCCGCTCGCGAAAGACGACTATACATGCCAATTTCTTCCCGTGATGATAACAATTGAGCGATTTTTAGATACGACGAAATGAACCAACCGTTCTCGAGGCGTTTGGCAGCAATGTCCGTACTGCAGCAAGAAGCCTCCATACTCGTACAGGGCTTATTAGTTTATTGTGCGTCAATATTATCAGCATTTGCAAGTTTTGTCATACGTATCTCCCTTCTAATACTCCTAGCAGCGCGACCAGGTGTAGAATATCGCAATTTAGCTGTCACGCACGTTTCAGCTGCAGGATTCATGTGGAGATACTGACATCGCTACTGAGCTTGACGTCTAGAACAGGCGACATGGCACTGTATATGGATCGCTTGATTGGGCAAACATAATTTTTGTTTAGAGCATTATTCGACAAGTCAATCTGCAGCCTTAGGTATATACTTAATCTATGTATGCATATCCTCTCTCATGGAAAACAGGCAACCTGGCTGCATATTCACAACTCATATTTTTGAAACGCGTGAACGCCTTATCCGGAAAATCAATCACAAACCGTTGGCCAATTGCCACATACAAACCAGTGCCCAATGGGCTGAAGCGGAGACCAAACTGTGCCACAACCAAGTCTAAGACGGGGACCTGAAATAGAGCACACAAGGACGGTATCGAGCATACTTAGCATTCATCTTGTACAGTTACGTGCACAACTTCGGGAACTGGGGGCTCCTCGTGCCGATAACAACAGGGAGCTCCAGCAGTGATGGAGACGAAAGTGTGCTTTTTCGGATGCATGCACCAAAGTTGCAATGCTCCGACAATAGCAACCAGAGCGCTCCCCCACCATGCAATGCCTGTGAAGCCGATTCGGGAGCCGATACTGTAGAGATACCCAGCGACTGGGGGAGCAACAGTCCGGCAAGCAGCACCAGCGGACGCAGATAACCCGTTTATTTTTCCTAGAACCGAATTGGAAGGGCTAGCTTGCTTGATAAGGATAAGCAAGACTGGGTACGCAAGGATCGAGAGGAGATTGCGAATCGTGATGCAGGTATATATGCCAGGATACAGTATGCCGGATGGAAGCAAAGCGAGGAACGGTACGATAAAATAGGCAATCGGATGGAGGACCGTAACCAGCACGAAAACATTCCAGACGCCTAACCATTCAGTGAAGATGGGAAATACGACAGCCTGGATTACTAACGCAATGATGCCGTTGATAGACATGATCAGGCCAACTGTTTGGGTGGACAGCCCCAGGCCCCCAGGAATATGAAGAGGCGGGGGAAGCGAACCTCTGACGAGATCACTCTTTTCGTCTTGAAGAAATATCGGAAATAGGTGGTCGTATGTCATGGAGTGGTAAGTGAATATTCCCAATGCAATTACCAACATTGTCACGCGGTAGGTAAAGACCTTTGGCGACTCCGAGGAACGTAATTGTTTCCCATCCAGCCTCACGTGCCATTCTTCATCTTCACGCATGTCCACGTCGTTGAACGTGCCATAGGACTTTGCTCTCAAATCAGCGCTCGCGCAAGCAAGTGACCCTGCAGTTGCAACGGCGGCCAAGGGCGCGCCAAATTCGGCATTATCACCGTGAGTCGGTACTGGTACATAACCCGTTTGCATGTCCGGGTGGGTTTCATCTAGGAACAAATACCCGGCAGCAATGCTGATCAAAAGCAGCACCGAGCAGATCAGGTTAGGGAGGAGGTAAGGGAAGCTGCCGAAAAGACCAGAAGGGGGGAAGATAGAAGGAAACGTTTCAGCAGGTTTAGCAAAGGTCCCCCCAATGGCTGAATTGTATATATCATTAGCCTCTTGCCCATGTCGCCGACTGCATCAATCCTATGACTTACCAGGGCCAATGATTGTTCCGATAGACCAGACAAACGGCATGATGGCGTATGCCCGCGCTATAAGACACACTCAGTATTAGGTGAAATATGTTTGAAAGGGCGAAGGAAGAAACATACGCTCATACTCTGGCTTCTTGACGAGCTCGCCAACCATGGTTTGGACTACACCTATATTTCCATTCAAGATGCCGCCAAAGATCCTGCCAAACAGCGCAACCCAGAAATTCGTGGAGAACCCAACGATGAGCAAGGAAAGCATGGTTCCAAAGCATCCAAAGAGCAAAACTGGTTTGCGACCGACCTTGTCTGAGAGACTGCCCCAGAACATTCCGGTAAGGCTCTCTGCCAAAGAAAAGGCAGAGATCAGGAACCCGGCATAGAAGGATGCGTTACTCTTGTCACCGATCTTGAAGTCCCTGACCATAACCCAGGAATATGGGAATATGGAAGTCAGAGCGATGGGTTCTGCAAAGCGACATATTGCTAAAGGCAAGGGTTGTTAGTGAGGAGTGACGGTAAGGGCAGCTGGCTGGCACTCACCGAGGATGAAGAGCTGAAGGGTCGGGAAGTCGTCGTTGGTGCTAGTTGGAGAGGGAGAAGGAATACGGCTTCTTTGACGTGTTAATCTCATATTCTTTAGGAAATACAATGACTCTTACGGCAATCCTCCCAGCAATTGCAACGGGCAGCTCCCGAGTCTGTGAAATGACCAGAGGCACTACCCCTTGCAACCGATTCTCAACTTGTGACCGTCAGGCAGGTTTCAACCCAGCCGATTGACGTCTGTTGCTCTTGACCTTTGCTGAAATATTTTGCTTAACTTGTGAGGATCTGCTGAGCAGGAGTGCATGCAAACAGCGGAAGACTTCGAAAGGATGAAGAAGGGAGACCGATGTTGTTCTGAGGGGGAGGATTATTTAAGGAGGAGCATGGAAACGAGGGCCCAGGGATCCAAAGCAAGGAAAAAAAGGAAAGATAGGCGGGGGAGAGGCCGATTTGACCGCAGAGAGCGGGTGGCGGAAGGTTCTAGTTCCACGGACCGAGTACCAGCCTGGGCTTTTCATCTTGCGGGCAAAGTACTTGCAGGAGCACAGAGCTGCGGAGAGGGACTGGGACGGATGCTGATGAAACATGAGCACAATACGATCAGCACGGTGGAGATTAGAGAACCCCATGCACCATGCCAGGCGGAAATAGGCATCCAGTTGGCAATTGGTATCAACTGCAGCTTCGCCAGGCAGTCACATTGTCCATGCAGTACATCAGAGACATCTTTATCAAGAGGCGTTCCCTGGTTGAGCATCCCTGGATGCCCGGTGCGAGAACTTTGAAGCTTGCACAGTTGCCACTGACTACAGAATACATAGTGAGCTCTCCACCAGAGAAGAAACTTAATCAAGACCGTGTTTCAACAGCCATCAACATGGTCACACGCTCTTTGACTGAGAGCTTCTAGGCCTTTGTCTAGCTAGTTGGGATTTCAATGGGGATGTCGTCGCATGTGCAGACGGGCGGCATCCAACGGCTCTGCATCTTCGCGTGATAGAATATTAATAATAGAGTTTGTTAAGCGCCAAGGCGGAGTTAGGGTTTGGTAGCGTAGCCCTAAGCCCCATACTGTGTCCCGATCGGGGCTAGCATTGTTTACCTCCCGTTGCCATGTCAAAGCGGCGTTTAATTCTGGGATCAAAACATTGGACCTCAGCAGCATCTATCGCAATCCAGCCAGATGCAACCCGTTGATCAAGAGATCCTAGCGCATCCTCACTAGATAACTGCTACTGGAGGTAAGCCCTCTTGCTATTCTTTGAAAGCGAACTCTGCTTACAACTTCCCGCAGCGCAGGCTATTTGACTTATGATCCAACCTGACCAAAGCTACAAGACCCGCCCACAGCTACGACATGGCGAGTCCTTTGTCGGTCCTCTCTCCCCTCTCCTCATCGAGACAAAACGCTCGCTCTCCGCTAGTCGATTCTTTCCCCCCAGACGCGAAGCCAACGGAATTCAGCCCTCGAGGCAGCGTCAGGAAGGGATTTGCGATCTTTGACGAAAACGCGTCTCCATTAGGCCAAGACCAACATATGGCTTCGCCAGCCGTCTCCGGTGCCGAAGACGACGAGTTGGAGGACCAAGAATTGCCGAGCTCGCCTTTCCGGGAGGCCGTTGAAACTGAGAACACCTGCACAACCCGAGACATAACGCCCAGGCAGCACGATGTCGACGCTACTGAGGCTAACACACTTGATGGCCAGGGTGATGTTGATATGGACGAAGAGGACTTCAAGCCGGATACCCTTGCTGCGCGGACCGTGGACGAGGCACCATATGTCGACGAAATGGTCCTCACTAACGAACAAAAACAAATCGAATCATACACTGAATTGGACAGCAGCGTAATACACCACCATGTTGAGCGGACTCAAACTCGAAAGGTGTCGGGCATGACTGTGAATAATGAAAACATGAGTCTCGTGTACCACGAGGATGAAGAAAAGCGAGCTTTGTTTGATGATGGCACAGGAAGCCACGCCCAGCCAGGCTACGATACCGGCGATGACACCTGTCTAAGCACCTTTTCGGCTGTTCCCAACGCTGATATGACCCTCTTCGCTAAGCTAAGAGGGGATTCGCCATTGAAACGAGTGAGAGAGAACACAGTTAGCCCCCGAAAAACAGGTTCCCCGGGAAGGTTTAGAGACTCTATTCTGGAGACTCCTGGTACTGCCCGGCGAGATTATAGACGGAACGGCTGGGGCGATCAGGGGGGTGATTACTGTTCTTCGTCCCCGGGAAGGAAATATCCCCGGATTGACGAGACACCAAATTTACTGGACTTTACCGATCAGCTTGGCGCGTTTCCACAGCACAAACAGTATCCCTCTGAGAATAATAATGGATCTCCGGCACGTCGCAATCCTCGCATTTCTCCACTGAAGACGGCTGAACGGTTCCGCTCCCCTTCCAAGTTGTCCTTGTTGGATTTTGATATCCCGCCAGCTCCTACCCCACGCTCGATTCCAACAATTACCCCGAGGGAATTAGAGTCTTTAAAATCGACATTCCTGTCTCAGATATCTTCGTTGAAAGCTACTTTAAGTGGCAGGGACGCCGAAGTTGCCAGTTTAAAGGAAGCAGTGGCCGACGCCGAAAGGCGGGTTGGTGAAGCCCTTGAGGAGGTGCGGAATGAGGAAGCACGAAGAGAGTCTGAACAGCGGGAGTGGGAGCGCCGGGGCAAGGAAATGGAGACTGTTTTGAGGGGCGTCAAGGCAGAAATCGTGGACGGAGAGCGTGAAAGGAAGAGGTTAGCCGAGAGGGTGGAAGAAAGTGATAAAACAAAAGAGCACCTGGAAGGAAAAATAGTTGAGCTGCAGAGCCAACTCTCTGCAGCTAGGCAAGCTACCCCTCAGCCGGCTACTTTGTCGGCCCCAAACACCCAATTCAAAACAACAGACGAGGTAGCCAAAGAAGTTCAAGATGCTGTTGAAAAGGTGGCACGCGAACTGCACACTTTATACAAGGGTAAACATGAAACCAAAGTTGCAGCGTTGAAGAAGAGTTATGAAGCTCGCTGGGAGAAACGCGTCAGGGAAGCCGAGAAGAAGCTCAGGGACGCTATGGAGGAGAATGAACGCTTGAACAACGATCGAGATACAGCCATTCCTGACTTTCAAGGCCGTGCATCAGCTGGGGAGACAACTATGTTACGAGAAAACGAAAATCTTGAGGCGGAGAAGAAGGTTTTAGAAGCTAAGGTCAAGGGACTTGAGCAAGAGATGCTTTCTGTGAAGCATGACCACGGATTGCTCAGTGAACAGTTGAAAAATGAACGCGCCGAAAAAGGTGAACTCGTTGCCCTCGTGGATGAGTGGCTTGCCATGCAACACCAACAGCAGCAGCAGCCGCCGGAGCAGCAGCCCGATGAGACACCACCGCCAGTCCCTCCACATGGGGAACGCGAGCTCTCGACTCCCCGAGCAGAGATCAGCCAGGGAGAAGACCCCTTACCGGTGACTCTGCCGAAACCGGAGTTTATGGAGAAGCCGGCTACCGCGCAATCAACTAATGAACAAGCCCATCCCGCCAGCAACATTGCCCGTTTTCCCGGCGGTTCGAGCGGTATTCGCCCCCGCCCTTCTGCCGGGCCGACCCCCAAAGTCCCACGATTCGGTATGCCCGGTAGCCATGTGAGGGGAAATAGTCGAGACGAAAAGGGTGTGAGCGGTATTCCGAGCAAGACTCCTGTTGCGCCGCGAAGTGGGATTATGAGCTCGATTGAAAGGATGGGAAGGGGAGGACTTTGACCGTTGATTTATCTGGCTTCCTTTTTTCGGCGTAAAAATCAAAATCATTTTGGGAGTTTCTGAATGTATGAGTTTTATATGATAGTTCTGTGTTTTCTTTTGTTCTGTCTAGTTTCCTTTCTCGGTTGTTCTCTTTTATGTGCAGAGTATGAGAACCATGAAATGGATATGAATTATGATTATTACATATCAGCATAACCATTACAAGGGGGCCAAAAAATAAAAGGGCAATGGGGAATCATTTTCTTTGCAAGAGAGGCGACACAACTAGTTACCTGGTACACTTTCTTCAGTGGCTTGTTGCTTTTCGGCCTCCATTTTGACAATTTCGCGCCTGACTTCATCAGCAATATTGTATGTCCACAGCCCCGTCATCCAAGAAGGTGTCGGTAGCTTGCCTGTAATCAAGTCCAGGAATGTCAGTCTACGGAAATCACAAGGCCGAATGGATATTCCAAGATAGATACTTACCCATGATGAACAAGCCAAGATACATCAGCATCTCACTAACCATGCCCAGGTCCTTTTTCTTTTGATCGAATTGTTTCCCCTTTTCTTGGATCGCGCGGACGCGAGGTTTACGGATGTCCATGTGTTTTTGCATCACCTGCGTGATAACCTGCCTCTCGGCTTGTGCTAGGTCATCGGGGGACAGATTCGAGGCAGAATTGTAAGTCTCAGTCAAGAAGTGGGAGATGAGCATTGAGAAGCATTCAACGTCTTCCAGGGCCTGGCTTGTCCCTTGGCCAGATGTGGGCGTGAGAGTGTGTGCTGCGTCGCCCACGAGGATGACGCCGTCTCTTGCCCAGGTTGGAAGTTCGGGGGTGGAGTTTTGAGGAAATATGGTCTGAATTTTGACCATGCTAAGGATTTTCTGGATGATTGGGTCGTTCCAGGAGTCGAGGCGGCTGTGTAGGTCACGGAGTATGGCTTCTTTGTCGACTGATTTTGGGTCTGGGCATGAATCCATCCCGTATGTCGACCACCAGATGATGGTGTCAGTTGCTATCGGCTTGGGTTGTGTTGTGGAACTAGTTTGTTCGGGTGGATTTTCCAACGATTGCACGAAGGAATAGCCGAAAAATCCGTTTCTGCCAAAAACGAAGTTTATCGATCCTGGTTCAACTAAGGGTTTGAATTCTTCCGACTGGATGACACCTCCAACGCCCACTAAGCCGCTGAAAGCGTATATTAGCATTCATTTTCGAGGTGAGGACATGTTGACATACCCGAATTCAGCTGGATAAGGATCTTCCTTAGCCTCCGGGAAAAGAGCTCTCCTCGTGGGACTCTTCAAGCCATCAGCACCAATGATTAAGTCTGCTTCATAGTCCGGGCTACCATCAGCAAATTTGATAACGCTTCTGCCCTTTGGGTTGGCAATGACGCTGGAAACCCGCCTAGTCACTATGATGTCGTCGGGGACGTAATTCCGTAAGCAATTCCAGAGGGCATGCCGGCTCAGTGATATTGAATACGTATCATCCAGCGCGCAAGGTAACCGAGCGAGGGTACAGCCGTAAGCGCTCATAAACTTCTGAACATTGAAAGAGTGTCCTGCATGCTTGACATCGCGCGCTAGATTCTCATCAAGCCGTTCTAGAGATCTAACCCCGTTCGGGTGGAGCCCTATGCCTCCACCGACGACAAGAGAGGCGGAATGGGTTTCGCCGGGGGCCTGCTGAGATGTAGAGTTCCGTGGTGTGTCGTAGGATTCGAAGATGATATATTCATGTTGTGATCCAGGGGCTGGAGGTTCGGGGAGACGCTTCTTCAAAGCGAGATAAATGGCACATCCACTAATGCCGGCACCAACAATAGCAATCTTCATGATGATGGAGGAGATATCAGCAAAGTGCGAAGTCAGTAGTTTCCGCTCTGCGAGAAGCAGGATTCAAACAGGCGACCAAGTGCCTTTTTATGGTGCAGAATTTGGGTGCCTGGTTAGTCTCCTTAATCATGGCTACCACTTAAGAAGCGTCAGCGAATACGGCCAAACAGTGAAAATCGAGACATAGGATTGGTCTTGCATGCAGTCTGCATCCTCCTTGCTGAATGTCATTTTTCCGAAGTGCTGCTAATTTGTCAACAAGCGAAAGCACTAGGCAGCACAGTTTCGCGGTAAGATACAATGAATCACAGCCTGCCCAGGATTCAAGAGATTCGCTGCTCGGATAACGGCATCATGCCTGCCTCCTTTTGCACCAGATGTTGCTTTCCATTTATTTTTGCAGTAAGAGAATAAGTTATAGAATCTCGAACGTCGTGCCAGTGATACTGTGTCCTGCGGTGAGAGCGAAAGAAAGACAGATTCACGTGACCGCCCCAACGCGAAAAATAGTCGCCGACGACAAGGATGGAATGCTCGCCTTTTCCTTGATGGCGAAGAATGTCTTTCAAAATGTTCTTTTGAAGAGACCAAGCTCCAGGCTTTGCTGTTATATTGAATGCTCGGCGCCGATGTGATGTCAACGCATCGCATATGTTCAGGCTAATTCCTCGACACGCCGCCGCGGCTCCGGCGAGATAGATGGATGGCATTTGATGAAGAAATTGGATCCAATGAGCCCAAAGGGCTCAGGAAGGATGATGATCCTTTTTGAACCCTGATCCGTGTGCGGATACTTCTACAACTGCATATGCTCAACAGGCAAACCTAGCCTCCCTGGCCTGTGATTGTGCTCTCTAAAAACACATGGCGTTAGAAACGCCGCCATGCTGAGGCCTGATTCTCGTTTATCGCCAGATATTCCCAATGGCGGAAGGCTGTCGTGGCCGAGCATTGAGGTCCAGAGCAGATGATCCGAGGAATTGCTGAACTCTGCCAGCCTCACAACCATATCCCTCAACAGTTTCCAGGCCGCTGACGGCAACCACGCTGCCCGACTCGCGTTTTTCCCTCAGCAAACGACGCAATCAGCTCGCCATATCATCTGGCCATGACTGTATGCTCTCCGCGGCTGACGTCCAAAATTGCCTAATTGGGTATGGTACTAGGGCTAACTTTGCTTATTGAGCCCCTAATGCGGAAACATGTCAATAAAAGCGTTTCGCCATCGACTGGTGGCTCCATGCAGCTTCGATATTGCCTCCTTTGCCATTGTGAAGACAATGAACACAGCGCCCGTTCCCTGGACCCTGGACTCTAAAAGTCGATTCCTGCGAGCTAGCAGAACGATGTGACGGTCCCCATAGGTGGGTTCGTCAAGGACCCCGTTTTGATGGACGTCCTCGGGCAATGTTTGGACAGAATTGGGCTTCTATCCCACCGTGTCTCCATGAGGCATTTCCTACAAGATCACTCGTTTGGGGGCATGGCGGAAGGTTCGTTATCAGAGTGGCTCTTCGCCTGATTTTAACCTCTGGATATGTCGTATTCCATCCGTTCTCAGGCATCCTCAAACGTTTCTCGCCTATTTGTCTCTGGCTCAGCCTGGATCTAGCTTCGTTCTTTTATCCGGGATGAAAAGCCCTCAGCACATTCTCTAAACTCTGGGGACGGTTGAGCGAGGAGCGGCCTATGGCCAGAGCTCTATAAATCGGCTGTGCTCCCTGCAGCTAGATGGGTTCTGTTTGCCAATACGGACAAGAATCTACTGCCAGAATCACCAGCTTACAATTTTAGTCTGTCTCTCCTTGACTCAAGTCCTTCACGATCTACCGCAATCATGAAGTTGTTCACTTTCCTTTTTGCCATTGCCGCAGCATCCATGGCTGTCGTTGCAGCCCCTGCTCCCGCTGAAGCTGGTGCTCCAATTGAGAAGCGCGAGCCTGAGCCAGGTATGGACTTACCTCAGCCGTTCTGATCTGCCGGGGCCATCTAACTAAGAGATTTATAATAGTTGACAAGAGATGGTGCACTCGCGTTGGCATGCCATGCTAAATGCCTAGCTGGCGTATACCGCCATGCCTACCTCTTCTTCAGTCCCTGATGGGCATGGCGGGCGCAAGCTTTGCAGCATGATACGATCTTTGCTGCCAAATTTCGACTATATGATTAAGGTTAATGCTTTGGTTATGGTTTTATATATTTTTGTCACGTCGACGGATTTGAATTGGCTGCTCTTCGCATACTCCGCGCCCCTTTCCGACTGGCCACCGCCACCTCAGTTATACGGCCGGATACTCGACCAGGATTACGCAGCTCCTTGAGTCAAAGGGAGTTGTGGGGTCAAGCCTTCGCGATAACGGCAGACAAGCGCGGGAACGCAGACTCGATGAATTCGTTGGACATTTGTGATTTATTATATCTTTTCGCGCACATTGTTGACTGTTTTTAGGGCCATCCACAGCCACTCTTTTGATGGGTTGGCCCTATGTATTGTACTGTATTTGGAGGACAGTCCTTCTTGTCTGCGCACTAATGTTTTGGTGCATACAACATACAGGCATATAGGTATATAGCCAATATATATATATATACACAAGCGAACCATTCTTTACACAATCCTGGGACCAATGTCAAGACAAGGAATACCAGCAGGGCACTATACTGCTCGTCTAGCTCATCCAAAGATGATAATTGTCAATTCCATCCCTCTCGAAACTAGTGGGCTCAAAGTTGGGCCATTACAGGCAAGTTGCAACCCCTAATTGTCCAGCTTATACCATTCGCAAGGCTTTGCCAGAGATGCACAAATAATTCCATGAAGGTCAAAACAATCTCCCTTGACTCTAGTTAGCCTAAAAGAAAGAAATATTTGCTCTTTGGGTTTCATGAGTCAGCGCCATCCTTACCGCTACGATGATTAGGTTTGATAGCCTAAAGTGCTTTCTGCAGACGTAGCTGTACGGGAAGGCAATCACGGGCTGACGGTTGGGACTGTCGCTTTTTGAAAATGTCTATATGTGTAAGTTAGGGTAACTGTCCTTCCCTTCAAGAGCGGTGGCTCAACACAAGAAGCAGCTGGGTTTCCGCAATGCCTTTTGATCTTTGCATTCATGCATGTAAGTTCGGCACCTAGGGGCATCATCAACTTGATCGCAGCTGAAGATTCGGTGCTCAAACAGGCCGGCATCCATTTGCCCAACGGGACCTTTTCTTCCTTTTTCCCTATGTTGGGATGTTTGAACAATCACCCTTTGTAATCAAGTATGTGGCTGGTTGGCCAGTTGTATGTCTTGACCCAAGCTTTCTCCGATTGTAGAGACTTTCAGAGGTGCGGTTGGGCTGGGCCCCTGGGCTGAGGACCGACTTCGGATGAATCTCGACTGAAATTAGAACCCATTTTCATCAACACTGTAGCATTAATGAATGGGGGGGAGATTCAGTCATTCGGAAGCAATTATCTGCAGGGGTTATTCGTCGTTGTCAGATTCTGCACATCCATGGATCCGTGAACGATACAATTACTCCGATTGATCAAGTTAGAAATCAAGCCTAAAACTCGTTGTTTTCATTGTATCCCCGTTGATAGTGAAACCGGAGGCCAGTGAAGTGGAGGTTTCCCATCGGCAAACTGCCGAAGGAGAATCAATCAATTCAGGCAAGTTTCGGCCTGAGTTTAAGGGATGTTGTAGCGCTGGTAGTAGCCCAGCCGTTGAAATTGGGCCGACGAGCGGACGCCGGACGGCCACAACTGCGGCTGCAGCTTCTGAATCACAGCGTGGCCAAGGCGAAGATGGTTGCTATGGGAGCATCGAAGCGATGCCCCTCCCCCGCATTTGCTTCTGGATTTATTGGCACAGAGGTTAGTCCCAGGCCCAGTGTGCTCGTCAGATCTGGCTCCAGCAAGGTCAGCTCGCTCCTCCAAGCTCAATTGGCTAGGATTGGGTCTCGACGTCTTGAGCTCCAAGGCCAGATCATCTTTGCCTTCGTCGTGAATCTCGGCCGAAGTATGTTTTTATGAGACTTGTCACTTGCTGGACACTCGAGAATCGATCCCTGCGCTCGAAGCATGCTCTCACGCCTCGGAAGCAGGAAACAGCCAGGTGAACGCCTCCTTCGCGACCCCGAAATGCACTGCCTTGATTGTGTGAACCCGAAATCAGAGAGACTGCCTCCCAGCATTGCTAATGCTGGCGGCTCGTTCTTCTGAGTTGAGTTCCGTGCGGCTCTCGGCACAGGAGCTCCATCGCAATTCCCAGTTTAGGCCTAGCGCCACGCACCGCCAGCTCTCCGGCCAGCAGCCGAGCAGCAACTCGCCTTCGTCGAGCATCGCCGAAGGTGGGTGTGCGCACGCCCTTTAGGGGGCCAGCTGGACTGCGTTTGCAGGGCAGAATGGGGTCCAAGTCCGCCGAGAAGGCGTGTGTTTAGCTTCGACGTGAGTGCTCGATCCCCAAGATCTGTGAGACAGTCGACTTTTACAGCCAGGTTCAACACAACCAGCTCAACGCGATATATAATTGAGCCGGGCTGAGCCAAAACACGAACTCTCATCGCCGACTGTTCCTGTCCAATTGCGCCAGGATGCCGAAAACCACTGAAGATCCTCACCCGGCCTTTCGACGTGCATATAACTCTGCAGTCTTGGTTCCCGTGACGTGCCGCTATCCGACTTTGATCACTGCAAAAAGGAACCGTCGGAATTCGCGCAGAGGACAACACTGTTTGGCAGACGGACAACTCAAAATCTATGGTCGATGGAGGGCCGTTACTACAGACGAGTGTTCGACAGAGGCGATTCTCAAGATCTGCTGTAAAATCTACTCATGTTGAAAGGCACAGCATGCACTCCTTATCCCTGCCTGGCTCTGACCAGTTATTATTGCTAAAGTCAAAGGCCAATATTACTGTGCAATATGCCTGGCTTTTGACCCGTCCCGCAAAGGTAGCAACCTCCATCCGGAATTTTGCGGACACTACGCTTTTCGCCCAGTCATCAAGATCAAACTCTCGTCCTCGCTTTTTCGATTAAAGTCATGGTAGATACTCAGATGCATTTGTGCCTCGCAACAAGATCCTGCAAATCATTCCCAACCAGTATCCCGGTCCGGATTTTGTTTAACCTTGGCCTGAAAATCCTGAAGTGGCCCATACTCGCAGCGAAAATTCCCCAACTCGGGAGGCAAAAGGCTCCTTGGCTTCACTCCAAACTCTCCCATGAAACGGACCAGTCCCTGGAGGCAAACGAGCCAATTAAGCCCAAGTGCAGGAATCGGAGCCACATGGATCGGAAGTGGATTTAGACGGTGCCTTATGTGGAGCTTGTAAGTTGCCAGAGTCTATTTCCAAGGCGTTCACGCGGCCTCTTGACGAATTCTTCTGCCCGTACCAGCCATCGCAGCCTATCAAATTGGTGAACCATTGCTCCGCCTGGGGAATGAACGGACCCTCGCGCTTCTCGGACCTTCGAACGGGATTTTACGCTCGCTCGGGACCAATAGTGCGCATGAATTCCCTCCTCCACGACAGGAGCCTGCCTTCCTGCCCCACTGGATTCCGCCTAGATTATTTTCTCTTTCCCCAAGGTTGTGCTATATCATTGTGTTCATTTTCTGGAGGAGGCAAGAAGAGCGAAAGTTTTAGCAGAGACTCCGGTTTCCAAGCCTAGTTCGGACCTAGCCATCCACCTAAATTCGTTGGGAGCACTGGGGAAATAATGGAGTTTATTTCACATTTGAGTTGTGCTGCTTCTTAAAAGCTTCCAGTCCCGCTCCCCGCGTTCCTGAACGCCTACCCTCGAAATTCCATTCATTTCTTGATTCTTTCATAGCAATCTCCACTCATCTGTTTTGATTTTTGGAGTTTATCACCTTTGGACTGGGAAAGGAATTGCCACGATACGTTACACTTGGAGAAACGCAGCGTTTTCGATATATTGCAAGCTTGGACTTTGGATGATTCCCCTATACGTGATTTTGGATTAGGCGGCGGCTACTGAGCGCACTACGATACATTCGTCTTTCAGCCATGGTTTCTGCAGAGTATACGGAGGTTCAACCTCAGAATAAACGGAAAGCCGCCGCGGCTGGACTTACCGGAGCATCGCGTCCAGTGAAGAGACGCGCATCCAAGGCGTGCTGCTGCTGCAGAGCCCGAAAAGTGAGGTGCGATGTGGTGGAAAATGGTTCTCCCTGCACGAATTGTCGCCTAGACGAGGTGGAATGCGTCGTGACGGAGAGTAAACGGAGAAAGTCAGTCATCAATACACAAGAAGGGGTGGATAGCGTAGAATGATAGCATACAGCTTGCGGAGCAAAAGGTTTCTGAAACGTGAATCAGCCAGCTGATTCTTATTTTCTTCTATAGGAAATCTCGGCCCGATGGAGAAGGCAACAAACTCTCCCCTGAGTGCTCGACAGAAACCTCAGAGGAGCCGGGCAATTATCTCGGACGGAAAGGCAACAGTAACGGGCTGGCCTTTTCGTCGATTCCAGAAACCAGATTGCCTCAATCTCCTAAAAAACATTGTGTGGATCTGGAAACAGGCCATCATGTGCCGCATCTTATATGTACGTTTGATTCGATAATCTCACGGTGCGTATATTATTCCAGGTTGCTAAGTGATCTTAGATCAAGCGCAAGGGAGACGCCTTAACGATGACGGCCGACGTCGACGGATGTCTGGCACAGGCAACCTCGTTCCCGGGCTTTTGCCTTGCAACCTGAACTCAGCAAAGCCGGACGGTTTCAGCGGCTCTACAGTCCTCAATATATTACCTTCTCCTCGCATGATCAAACGAGCTCTCCCGGATTACCTTCGTCTATTGCCTCCTAAACTGCAAGACGCCGATATTGATTATCTTGAGGCGAAAGGAGCGCTGACGATTCCTGAGCATGGGCTTCGGAATGAGCTGCTTCGAAGCTACATTCAATGGGTACACCCATATATGCCGCTCTTGGAATTGGACGATTTCTTGCGCGCCATTTTCGAAAACGATAGTTCTCAGCGTATCAGTCTTCTGCTCTTTCAAGCGGTGATGTTTGCTGGTACGGCATTCATTGACATCAAACACCTTCGTGCCGAAGGGTTCGAATCAAGAAGAGCCGCACGAAAAGCCTTCTTTCAGAGAGCAAGGGTATGTTGCGTCCTGCCGTGTCTTCTCTTTGCTTCAGATTTCAATGTGATTGACCGGTGTGTTGTAGCTGCTCTACGATTTTGATTATGAAGCGGATCGCATCTCCTTGGTGCAGTCACTGCTACTGATGACATATTGGTACGAAATGCCAGACGACCAGAAGGATACGTGGCACTGGATGGGAGTCAGTCTTTCTCTGGCACATACCATCGGTCTACATCGAGACCCGGCTAGCTCCAACATGGACCCAAAACGACAGAAATTATGGAAACGAATCTGGTGGGGCACATACACAAGAGACCGCCTGATTGCTCTCGGGATGAGGCGCCCAACTAGGATTAAGGATGAGGATTGTGATGTTCCCATGCTCCAGGTCAGCGACTTTGACTTCAAACCTATGTCCCCTTCGGTTCTGCAAGTTCTTGGAGATGTCGAGTTGACGCACAACGTCACCCATCAACGAGAGCTTGCAGTGATGTTTATCGAGAAGGCAAAGCTTTGCCTTTGTATCAGCCATGTCCTCTCGGCACAGTATTCTGTTCTCGGCCATAAATTCGGTGGAACAATGGAAACAACCATGATGTTGCTACCGAAAAAGTCCGCCGCAGAAACGTGTGAGGTTCGGCGATGTGATGACGAGCTAGAGCTGTGGCTTGTGAATCTTGCAGAGGAGGCCCAATATCGCCCGCCTCCTTCGACGCTTTCCCCTGGAGACGGAGTGATTTACCTGCATCGGGCGCTTTTGTCCATGGTCTACCATACCACATCCAGCGCGCTTCATCGACCCCAGGTTCTCCCGACAACTCCGATTCCTACGGTGGAAGTTGAGCTGCAAGCTCTATCTCGGACCAAGGTTCGGCATGCAGCCGTAGAAATAACCAACATAGCCCAAGTGCTGCATAACCTCAAACTGACTTGCTTTTTGCCTACCACCGGCGTCACCGTTTTGCTTCCCGCTGTTATTATTCATTTATTGGATATCAAATCCAACGACATCAGTGTCCGGGCTGCGAGTCTCAATCGCTTTTATCGATGCATGCAGATTCTTCAACGTCTGCAGGAGATCTACGCTTCTGCAGATTTTGCTACCTCGTTCCTCGAAGCTGCGATTCGCAAGGCTGGTATACATGTCCCTACGCAATTCTCCGCGGAAACAACGGTGAAACCGACCACGGTTGCTCCGTCACAAACCCACTTCAACGCCTTGACGCCGCCTCCCGACGTTCAACATGAGAAGGGTTCGGACAATACGAATTCCCATTCGTCGATTGCAGCCTTGCCGACATTCTCTCGCCCTGAAGAAACAGGTCCGCCTTTTGCATCCACGCCACCCCATTCGGTAGGTAGCGAGAACGGAAGCACCCAGAACGTTCGCAATGACGATCTCTTCAAAATGGACCTTTTCGCTTCTGCCAATACCAACCCTGAACCTACGCTTACTGAATTTATGAACATGGCTCACGACGCCGATATTACCCAGAACGATATTGATGCTTTGATCAATTTCGAAGATGTCAACGGTGAATTATTTAATGGCGAAGAAGACCTTGGAATTAATTTCAGCATGGCCAACACCTTATCCAACGAAGACAATCAAATATCGCTAGATAGCTTGAACTGGATGCGCGAGTTTGCAAATGGGAATTTGCCGGCCGAGTCGGCGATGCAGGATGCTGAGGAATATACCGGCGTGATGGATGGCGCGGACCCATCCGAGAAGCGGGAGCCGGAGAAGTCGGGCATGGTCGAACGAGCGGATGAAATGTTGATGCAAGAGCCAGATGCGGCATCGCCGGCGAAACGGGAGGGAGCAGAAGCCGTAGAATATACAGCAGATGTTCGCCTTGAGGTGTAAGGTGACTCACGGTTTCATCTTAAAAGACGAATCAGTCGGAAAGGCCGGTGTGCTCGTATGCGCGCATTGTGGTTAGCTGTTTGCCTCGCTGGCATAGCCGCCATGGCCTCATTTTATGTAATATATATACCCTGGATATGATGATCAAGTTTGCATGAGTCTCTCTTAAATTAAATCAGAATATTGACAGATCAAATCGATGGCCTTTAGGACAAATCAACCTAAGACCATCAAGCAGAATTGTGTGGGCTTGGAGCTTACTCGGAATATTCAACACCCTAAGCTGGTGGAAGCTATACGGATACCATCAAAGACTTCATCAGCTGTCTGTATGATCCCTCCGATCAGACATCGTACTGATTACCGCAATGGACTTATACATGAGGTCGAACGATGCCCAAATCCACGGGTGACTGTGGAGGGAACGCTCCCTAAATACGAGCCTGTGATAAGCATACAGGCATACAGACATCCTGTTCCCTTTTACGTATAACAAGCTCTTCTCATCGACTTCAGAACTATTTCTGAAGCCTATCGGCCGGATTTTTGTTTTGATACGTGCTCGAATTCTGATTAGTGCCAAACGCCTGGGCCAATCTCCTCGACAGGGCGCTTCAACAGCGTTGGGAGGCTGCTCTATCGCCTTCTTTGAACAAAACACTGTGCTTCAAGTCTTTCCACGCTGTCCATCGCAGGGCTTGCAAGTTCAATGGCCCGCTATTTTACACTATCATTGTCGTTACTTCGCCCCTTTGTTCCATTATATTCCCGGAGACTTCGAGTCGGCATTGGTTACACCAAGATCAGAGCAATGTCGCATGATCAAGGGAATTTGATCAAATACATGTGGATTGATGGTGCAGAGACACTCGAGCACTATGTTCCCGGCGGCTATCATCCTGTCATGATTGGTGACGTGCTCCACGACAGATACCATATCGTTGATAAACTTGGGTTCGGCGGGTATTCGACTGTTTGGCTTGCTCGAGATTTCTGTTACGACCACTATGTTGCATTAAAAGTCGGCATCTCACACTGGGGAGAGGATTCACTGTTGCGTGAAACAAGAAGTCTCCGGGCACTTTCTGCGCTGCCACCATCTGCATCTAGACAGCAACACCTTGGACACAGTTCTATCCCTTGTCTCCTAGATCAATTTGAGATACATGGCCCTAATGGGACGCATGTCTGCTACACAACCACTCCCGCCCGGTGCAATCTCCATGAAGTTTCTTTCAGCCGTCTTTTTCCTCTTGACGTCGCGCGAGCGCTATCAGGTGGGCTGATTCTGGCTCTCGCATATACCCATTCAAGAGGCTATGTTCATGGAGGTTGGTTAGGACATTTCACCCTTTTCCTTGTACCTACTCAGCTAATCACTTGGGTCTATATCTAGATATCCAGCTGCAGAACATCTTTGTCAAGCTACCATCAAGTTTCAATGCACTTTCAATTGACCAGTTGTACGAAAAATACGGCAAGCCTGCAACAGTGGATGTTAGGCGAGAAGATGGTGAACCACTTCCACCAAATGTTCCACCCAAAGTGGTCTTGCCACTATATCTTGGTAAAAAAGCACAGGAGTTTACCCTTGCTGATGTCCGCATCCTGCTGAGTGACTTTGGTGAGGCTTTTGCCCCGGGTACAGATATTCGCCCTGGAAAAGTTAGCAATATCCCTCTGGCTTTTCAGCCACCAGAGGTCCGCTTTGAACCAGATGCCCCATTGACATCCTCCTCAGACATATGGAGCCTGGCGACTGCCATATGGGAGATTATTGGTATGAAAGCTATTTTCAGTACTGACTGGGTGACTGAGGATGAGATGACGGCCCAGCATATTGATGAGCTAGGACCTATGCCTCTGAGCTGGTGGGATCGCTGGGAGAAGAGGGGTGAATTCTTTGATGAGAATATGTGCCCAATAGAAGGTAGATACGTGTGGCCGCCTCTTGACCAGGCGTTTGAGGATTTTGTACAGGTGTCTCGTCGGAAGCGTGGCATGGGAGAATTTGGCAAGGAAGAAACCATTGCTCTTTTGCATTTGATGCGACGCATGCTGGCCTACCTGCCGGAAGACAGGCCAAGTGTTGAAGAGGTACTCAAGTCGGAGTGGATGGTCAAGTGGGTGATGCCGGATTTCGAGCGGAGTTTGCAGGCTCAACATAGCAATAACGACCACCGTGGACGAGAGCCTAAGAATAGTAAAGCGATAGGCCATTTACGCTGGTTATGTAACTAATCCGGGCCCAACGTTCAGCTCCAACCACGATCCGCAACAAGAACCTCTGCACTCGCCCCAGCAGCCAAAGCCAGGTCGAAGAATGCTCAACGGCAGCGCCAATTGCTCGGCGAGGGCCTGATACTGAACGGGCCTTTTGATTTTAACCCCATTGGCGGAGCGTTTATCCAGAATGGGGTCTTTTCACGGAAGAAACATTTCCATTATCCGTACTGAGTAAACTCCCCCAAACCCTGACCGCAGCGCTTTAGGACAAGGATGATGTTTTCCCCCTGCTGAAGCAGAATCTACGCTTCCCAACGTTGCATTATATGGAGCTCTACGCTAAAGGAGGGATCACTGCTCTTTACATAATGGCGATGGGATGTGGCCCTGGGGAGTTTTTGACAACTCCTTGATCCCTGGAATTCAGCCCTTTTCAGCCCACTAACAAGGTCATCTCCTTTTCTCGGCTTGGCTAATGTTTCCCCAGCTGTTAATGCCAAATTGCTTGGGCCCAAGGGACTGGCGCATAAATAGATGCTCTTATATTGCTGCGCTATGCCAGAGTTTATTGCCGACAAACGTTTGATATTTGCCTTGAACTATACCCTGTGGAATCCAGGCCTCTGTTATGAAGGGAACTACGGTATCTTCTGTCTTTCAGTGGATTGCATTGGTTGCGCCACTTGTTTCTGGTATCGCGGTTCCAGATGAGTTTTTAGACCTCCACGATGGCCAACTACCTCAACAGCCAAAAGGTGTAAAAGAGATTTGGTCCCCCGATGGCTTCCGCGTGAGATATAAAGAGCCTGGCAAGGAGGGAGTTTGCGAAACGACTCCTGGCGTGAATTCTTATTCCGGATACATCGACCTTGGGCCCGATTCGCATACTTTCTTTTGGTTCTTTGAAGCAAGGCATGATCCCGCTAACAAGCCAGTTACGCTTTGGCTTAATGGTGGACCTGGGAGCGATTCGCTAATTGGACTCTTCCACGGTACGACTTTTTTGGGGAGATGAAGGGGTATGCTAATACTAACAAAAGTCCAGAGTTTGGTCCGTGCAAGATTACTGAAAACTTGGAGTCGAAGATCAACCCTTACTCTTGGACAGAGGTTTCGAATATCCTATTTCTCAGTCAGCCTTTGGGTGTTGGTACGCGGGTCAACTGATATCCGTACCAATGGCAACAATGATTAATATATTTTCGAGCTCCAAGGGTTCTCGTACAGCTCGAAACAAGTAGGCTCCATGAACAATTTCACTCAGGATATCGAGCCACCGCACGTCGGCGGGATCAAAGGCCGCTGGCCCAAAATTAACCCTTCCAAAATTGGTAGGTCTACTGACGGTGCAATGAACGCTATCAAGTGACCTGATTTTGATGCTAGAAACCACGCAGCAAGCCGCAGAAGCAACTTGGAACGTTGTGCAGGCTTTTTACAAGGCCCTACCTCGTCTTGATAGAAAAATAAAATCCCGAAGCTTTAATCTTTGGACGGAGAGCTATGGAGGGTTAGTTCATGCCGATATTCAAGAAGTTCATCATAATTGCTAAAATGATTGCTAGCCATTATGGACCAGCGGTGGGTGCCTGCACCCTATATATAAACCGGCGATATGCTAACGAGATCCGACCATAGTTTTTCAAATACTTTGAAGAGAAAAACCGGCTCATTTCCGAGCGTAAAGCTCGTGGAGTAAAACTTGAGTTCAACACCTTGGGCATTATCAACGGCTTAATTGATCTATCAATTCAGGTCAGCTCAGCTCTTATAGTCGTGTGTGCACTTGCGTCTCTCAAATAAAGCTAACACAGTTGCCGGCTCAAGGCACCACAATATATTCGATACGCCGAGGAGAATACCTACGGAATTCATCCTGTAAGGGAGAGGCTCATGCTCATATCCGCTTAATTACCGTTACCACTGATACATGTCTAGCTCAATGAAACCATAATCAACTACATGAAGATGGCAAATTCCATGCCAAACGGGTGTCAAGACCAGCTAGCAAGGTGCAAGCGGCTTACTCGAACAAGTCTTGTTCCGTATTCATATTGCAGCGAAGCCCATTATCAATGTCGGGATAATGTTGGTAAGTGGACGGCTGCCCTTTTTGCCTATCTGTAGTGCGCAGAGGCTCAACAGAATTCTACGTGTCTCCATATAGAGCGGTTGTGGTCCTATTTCAGTGGCCGAGGAGTATATGATATCCGCCAACCTAGCAGCGTGAGACATCAACCTTTGGGGACGCGGGTGCAGTTTCAGGCCCCTAATCCAATGTTATAGGCAACTCCCCCGGTGCACCCCGTGCTTTATCTGAACCAAGCCAAAGTCCAAAACGCCATCGGCGTGGACTTCAACTATACGAGAATCTCGAATCCTGAAGTATACGCCGCCTTCGCGCGGACTGGCGACTGGGGATTTCCCGACTTCATTGAGGACTTAGAAGCCATCCTTGAGATGCCAGTCCGCGTCACGCTGATGTACGGCGATGCGGATTACATCTGTAATTGGTTCGGCGGAGAGGCCGTATCTCTTGCAATGAATTACACGCGTGCAGAGCGCTTCAGGAAAGCCGGATATGCGCCAATCCTCGTCGATGGCGTTGAATACGGTGCAGTCCGAGAATTTGGCAACTTTTCGTTTTCCAGAATCTACGAAGCTGGCCACGAGGTACCGTGTATGTGTGCTGTTTTCCTTCTTCCTTGGTTTTATTTTCCTTTGCGCCGCAATCCGTTGTATTTCGTATTGGGAAGGAATTCAATCCTGATGGGAAATCTAGACTACCAACCGCTGGTATCCCTCCAGTATTTCAACCGCACGTTGAACGGATGGGATCTTGCAACCGGAAAGACGAAAATCGATGCAGACTACGGCACTTCCGGTCCGAACAAGTCGACGCATACTGAAGCATATGTTCCCTTGCCATCTGGGACCCGTGCGTGAGGTGGCAGCAGAATGTTCATCATGCATAAAAATTCTGTCACTAGATTTTCCTTTCCTTTCAACTGTTAAACCTAGTTATAGAGCTCTGTATGGAGCGCCTTATTAGGTTGAACAGCCCCCAGGCAGCTTTTGAGGCGTCCAAGGAAGGGAAAAAGTGGTCAAGTAGTCATTAGAGTATGTTTATTAAGAATTCACGATAGGTACTAGAAGAGTCAAGAAGGGCAGAATCTCCTCGCTTCCCACATCGCCAGAGACAAGTATTAATAGTAGAAAGAATTTGAGAACACGCAACATAGATTCCCTTCCCGTTCACCGCCCAGTCAGGAGACATTTGCAAATGCATCAATCGCATGATTACATGTCAGCAGGGGAAATCAAAAAGAAAAAGAATTTTCCGTTTATTTCTTCTCGTCTCCCTCCAAGATTTGGTTTCCGGCGACTTCTTCGAGGGTTTCGTCGGAGAATTTGATGTCTTCTTCGATGTCGATGCTATCCTTGATCTTCCAGAAGACGACGGGGGCAGCAACGACGAGAGAGCCAGCAAGGAGGCCCCAGGTGGATCCAAAGTAGGCTTTGTACGAAACGTTCAAGTCGTCCATACTGTTGGCGGAAAAGTCAGTGATACATCATTTGTAGGGAACGGTGAACGTCGGGAGAATGGAAACATACCGCCAAGTAATAGCGGCACCGGCAGATTGGATACCCTTGTAGAAACCAGCAAAGTTGGCAAGTTTACGGCTGTTGTTTGTGAGAGCGCCCATGAACCTAGCTTCGGGTCAGCATCAGGAACGAAAAAAGTGCAGAGAAGAAAACTTACCAATAGCAACAAGTTTGGAAGGCGGCGTCGTAGAAACCATAGAATAGATAGAGGAACATTGGTCCGATGTAGTTACTGGCGGTCCAATCTGTGCGATCATCCTCTAGGAGGACGTCGGCACGGTCATAGTTCTTTTGGAAGGCCCAGCCGCCACCCCAGACAGCCATCGTCAAGACAAAAAGGAGGACCAGGCCAGCTCGAGCGCGGACGGTGCGGCGGACTGACTTGATGTCGAGTAAGTAGCCAAATACGAAGGCGCCGACCATCTGGAAGAACCAGTACAGGACGTTGTTGAGGGCACGAGTGCGAATGTTGAACTGGGCAAGGTTGACGCCGTTGAATTGGTAGGTGGTGAACCAATTGCTGGCCAAGAACATGGGGAAGAAGAGGACGATGTAGTAGTCAGTACGCAAGACTTGCACGAGACCTTTTAGTTCTGATTGCCAGGAGGGGTTCTTCATGACAATAACGTGAGAGCCGTCGACACGACGAACAAACTTGGGGTTCACCAGGGCGAAAGAGAGCACGAAACCAAGGAACATGAGGACCATGAATGCAATGTAGGTTCCATCGTTGACGGCATTGGCTTTGCTGTGGATGTTCTGGCCGAGGGGCACCTATAGGAGATCATTGCGGGTCAGCGGGGCCGTGACTGGAAGGAAATCGCGTTGGCTTACCAAACTTCCAATGACACCACCCAGGTTGAAGATGATCCAAAACCAGGAGATGAATTTTCCCTTGTGCTGTTCATCCGGGTAACTCATCATGACGGCGCCCTGGGCGGTCCACAGGCAGCCGGCGCAGACACCGAGCAGGGCACCAGCAAAGATGAGGAAGCCGGTGTTCTTGTTGTGGTTGTATGACAGGATGGAGGCGACATAGAGGAAGTAGCCGAAGCCACCAAAGAAGAGGGTTGTGCGTAGACCCAATCGGTTGGCGACCGAGCCGGCAAAGAAACCGACGACGGCAAAGGTGGAGTAGAGTGCAGTGTTGGCTTTGTTGACGGCGTGCCCGTCGAGCTGGCCACCAGCACCAAGACCGTTCACGGCGTTGAACATGCCCGGGCAGAGGAAGCACACAAAGGAGACGATGAGGAGCTGCGAGATCGGCGACGCGTACCACGGGAGCGTCCAGGGGCCAATCTTGGGAGACCTGTACATCCATGGCTTGCCACGGTGGGCAGCGGCGGGGAGACGCGACTCATCGTCCAGAACCGCGTCCTCGGGTGGAGGATTGGCGGTGGAGTTGGGGATCTTCTCGTCAGCACTCGACATGGCTGTTGAGAAGGAGCTATGAGGATTGTCAACCAATGCAGAGAGAATGGGTGCAAGAGGGGGAAAAGAAGATGAGGAGGAAGAGGTTGAAAAGCGAGCGCATGCAAAGCACGTGAGGAATGTGCGCTGCTAGGGTGAAGGGCAAGGGTGGCAGTGATGGTTGGGATGTGAAGAGAAGAGGAGACAGGATGTCGACATACCGGTTTGGGGATCCTTGTTGTTGTGGTCGAGGGTGATATCAAGAGTTGATGTGCGCAGAGAAAAGAAAAGAGGAACAGAAGAGGAAGAGTGACAGGGAAGAGCGAGAAAAGCAGCTTTATCAGGAAGATGCCGCAAAGACAGCAGCCAGATGTCCCTGTGACACTGTTGTTCTCCCACCGCGGGCGCAGAGAGACACAGATGAAGCGCCAAAGGGCCCAAGGTGTCAAGGTAGCTTGGACGTGCAGCAGACGCGCTGAGCTGCCAGCGGCGGGCGGTCCATGCGCGGGTGCAGAAACAATGACAGCCGCAAGCTAGTTCTGCAACCCATCAAGCTGGCTGCGAACCGGTGCTACAGTCTTGCTCGCCGGCTTTGATGCTGTCGGTCGGGCGATGCGACCGTGGCATCCAGCTCATTGCCGCATGCGGACTAGCGCCGCCCCGAGGTTACATCCCCACGGCGATCCGTACCGTAATGATTGTGTACCGTCGCTGCAGAACGCGGCTGTCTCGCCTGGGTACTGCCTGATCTGTACGGTCACCGTATCCTGTCAGCGAAATACCGTCCTGTCACGGGCGTAATACCGCCGAACATGACCTGACAAGACCGCTAGTCCAACGACAGCTCTTCTTGACGATGACGGTGCCATTGGGACGACAGACCATCTTGATCTATCATGAGGTCGAGATATCAACTCGAGCTTCACGCAATGCCTGACCGGAACCTGCACTAAAAGAGCCTCGTCTCTCTCTCCATCTCCATCTCCTCCTCAACCCCCTCTAACAGCCATGCCCTCGACCGTCCACGCCGTCCATCCCCCCCGCGTCACCAAGTTCACCAACTGCCGGCTGCCCATCAACGGCGCCCTCGTCGAGCAGGACCTCTGGATTGACTCTGCCTCGGGCAAGATCCTCCACGATCAGCGCGCCTTCTACGAGGACCGCATCTGTCCCGACCAAGTGGTCGATCTGCGCGGCCGCATCTTGGCTCTCGGCTTCATCGAAGTGCAGATCAATGGCGCCTCTGGCTTCGACTTTTCGGTGCCCCAGCCCACCAGGGAAGCGTACGATGCCGGCCTGCGGGACGTCAATCGCGCTCTGGTCAGCATGGGCGTGACCGCCTACCTGCCCACCCTGACCAGCCAGAAGAAGGACGTCTACGCTGCGGTGAGCAACTGGCCCATCCCCGCACCATCGCTCGACCCCTCATGCTGATGCCTTGCCAGGTGCTTCCTTCGCTCGGCCCGTCCGGTCTCCTTCGACGCGCCGAAGACGGGGCTGAGTCTCTGGGTGCTCACGTCGAGGGCCCGTTCCTGAGTCCCGGGAAAAACGGTATCCACAGTCCCGAGGTCCTGATTTCCGCCCGAAACGGCCTCAAAGACCTCATGGATTGTTACGGAGCCGAGAACATCTGCGTCGACGAGGCCTCCCCGACACCCGTCCCCGTCAAAATGATCACCGCCGCGCCCGAGGTGGGTGCTATGTTGTCCCTCATTCCCCAGATCAAATCCCAAGGCATCATCTTCTCCATCGGGCACTCCGACGCAACCTACGAACAGGCCCTGGCCGCCGTCGATGCAGGCGCAAACATGATCACTCACCTCTTCAACGCGATGCGGCCGTTTTACCACCGCAACCCGGGCATTTTCGGCCTGCTGGGCCAGTCGGAGAAACATCGACCATTCTACGGCATCATCGCGGACGGCCTGCACCTCCACCCCACAACCATCCAGATTGCGTACAACGCGCACCCGAAGGGCATGATTCTCGTCACCGATGCCATGAAGCTCTGCGGTATGCCCGACGGCGTGTACGACTGGACCAATGGCGAGCGCATCGTGAAGACGGGTTCGCTGCTGACCCTCGAAGGCTCAGACCGTCTCGCAGGAAGTTCCGCGACGCTGATTGAATGCGTGAATAACTTCCGGCGATGGGCTGGCGCGAAAACGGTCGATGCCCTTGCGGCCGTGACGGAGACACCAGCGAGAATGCTGGGCATCTTGGGATCAAAAGGGACCCTGGCGCATGGCGCAGACGCTGACCTCGTGGTCTTGGGCGAAACCAAAGGTGAGGATGGAGAGCTGGGAACACTGACCGTTGACCAAGTGTGGAAGTTTGGTGTAAAGGTGTTCGACAGTGAGAAGGACTGAGGGACTCGGCATCTGTCGACTTTGACACTTTGCTGTTCCCATTTGGTTTAATACCACGAAGCCACACAAAAAGAAAAGAATCCAGTATACATTGCTACATGGACACTCTATGAGCAGGCGTAACGTGGTGCTTCTAACAGTGCTGGATGGACAGCATCGATGCCCCATTTTACAAAACTAACACTCTGTACAGCATAAACTCCAAAGCATAGAAATAGACAGGGTAAGAAGCGATCCAAGATTTTAAGGGTCTAGCGAATTTATCTATCACTCGTCAGCGTTTTTGATATCTGTCTTTGCGCGCAGATGTATATACAACGATAGATTATGGCTGTAGGCAATATACCGGTTCTACGACCGGATAGTGAGGCTACAAGTTCCAGCTTGTCTTTTAAACATCGT